TAAATCATAACAATGCTTAGGCAATATGTCCTGTCCCCCCTGTGCCCCCTGTGCCCCCTGGTGAGTCGGCCCCAGCTTTGATCAATGCAAAAATTCTTGGTGTACATGTCTCTGGGGTTGATTTATCTATTTACTCGGCAGCCTCGTCATCAGGGATCCCAGAGATGGGACGGGCGGAAGACGGACTCCCCTTTGTAGCTGTCAATATTTAAAACGTTGTCCTGCTCCTGAGCACGCAGCTGCTGCCCCTTCCTGCTGCCCCTTCCTGCTGCCCCTTCCTGCTGCCGAATGCCTAACGCTGCGTGCTTAACAAGAGTTTATTGAATTTTATTTTCTCATCTCAATTTGATGCAAGCACGAAGCATTTCCTTCGGCTTGCCCTCACTTATTTTGGGCAACATATTGCCTGTCCCACTTCTTGACATCATTTTTTGGGGAGAGGAGAACTTTGTCTCCGGTGCATTTAAATTTCAAATTGTTTTATTACCGGACGATCCCCAGCACAGGAAGATAATTGAAATTTTGTAGTTGAAAATACTTTATACGCAGCGTAGTCGTAAATCGCTTATTACAACAAATGTTATGTATCTCAACGCACAGCTAAAACTTTTTGCCGTATCCGCGTCAAGTTTTTCGATTACGGATTAATGTAATTTTTTCTTCATCTATATATGTGTATATATACACTTCTGTTTTTTTTGTGTTTTTTTTTTAGCATGTTGACCCCTCCCAGAGCTCATCTAGTTTGTTTGACTTGTCGGCCCGGCTTGAAAGTTTGATGAATTTTTAAATTTAAAAAGTTTATTTGTGCGTTCGTAAGTTTGCCGAGGGCCGCCAGTTCTGCGGATTATTATTAGAAGTGCAGGCTGACTGACTTCAACACTTCAAAGCGAGCTCGCTGATGAGGTCGTGCCACTTGCGACCGCTTTTCCCACGCTTTTCCAGTTGCCGCCGTCCAGCTTGTTTATTCGAATCCCCAAGCACACTTCCTAATTTCAGCAATTTTCTATTTGCCCTCGCTGCAGAATCTTTCATGTTTCATTGTCAATATCTTTATTTATCGTGCGGTTGGCAGGATTTCTTTCGCGATCTTTATTAGCACCTAGGGGTTGTTTTCAGGCGCCTCGGTTTCCAAGCTGTTTGCCCTTGTTTCTGCTGACAAAAATATTTGCAACCACGAGCAGAACAGGTGGAAAAAGAGGAATAGCTTCGTTGAGCCACATAAATAAATACAAAATACAAATAAATTAAAATATAACTGTATTTCGTTTTTGCGATAATTACTAAAAACAAAACAGCGGTATTTGTTGCCGCATAACAATAATAATTACACACAGCCAATGCAAAGGGGATCGATGCGAAAAATATTTAATCACAAAATGCTTTCATGAACGAATGACTGCATTTAATGACGGCCACATGGAAAATCGCACGAAAATTAAGCGAAAGACTAAAATCAACATTTAAATTGGCTAATGGATAAGGGCAGGGGTGTTAGGTATCGTAGGGGCGTATGTTAAACAAAATCAATTACAGATAATTTAACGTGGACGGCTGGTGTGTAAAAAGGGGAAGCACATAATAGAGTCATTTAAGTACAGTTTAAACATTAATGAGGGTCGAGGGGTAATTGCAGTAGCAGAGCAAGGAGTTTCTGGCCACGATAAATCGATAATAAATGTGGCAGACGTTGGTCGTCCGTTTGGCCAGCTTGGCTGTTAGAATAACTAATGGAACACACATACGCACTCGGACGCCAAACACAAAGGATACGGGACACGATGGGCGATACGCAACACCGTACGCGGAGCACTGTGGCACTGTGGCACTGCGGCACTTTGGCACCATAGACTCACAGTACATGGCACGTTTGTTTCACTTGTGTCCACGGCTGGGGAAATACAACTGAAAGCGGAGCAAGCGGGTCAAAACCGGCCTTTATAGTGCCAGAAGTAAGTGACGTGGAGGTACAACTTTATGCCTTTCGCGCTGCATTTTGCGCGAGCAAATTGCAGCGACATTTCAACGCCAACTAATCAATATGGACTACATGCTGTCGCCGGGGGGAGGGCAGGCCCAAAAGCGGGAGTATGCGAAGGTGAACTAAAACAGTTGGCCAGGCCAGGACAAAGCGTAAGTGCTGGCCATACAATTGCGGTTAATGCTCTCCTTGAACGCGATAGTTTGACTGATAAAATAATAAACCCACTGAAACAGCAACCATAATTCCAGGACATTTTTATGTTTCGCAAACTTTCATTTTGCTCCTTTACGAAATTTCAAAATATACGAACTTCTAACAAAGTTGAGATTGAGTCCATTAATTTGTGTCGAATATAGCACCCTGATCCGAGGCTAATTTGTATGCCAGTCAGCTGGGCGAGCGGTTGCACTTTATTTTATTGCGCGCAATTTACCCACAACCCAAAAGCGACCCTTCAGCAGACGTGGCCCAATAAGAACGGCCTAAAAGGAAGGCAAGAAAAAGGGTCAGTTTTCTACACCTATATATAATTGCACATAATTGGCATTTAATTATCCCTCAATTCACACTCTCACAGAGGAATGGAAAGCATTGAAAGTCTGAGCCTCTTCGATTTACGCAAATAAAATGTTATATTTTATTGTTAAACAAGATGTAGATAAGGGATAATGCTTTTCCTAGTGAACAACACACGTGTGCAATGTGAAAAACAAGGATTGTCCAACGAGAAATTATCGATAATTGTAAAATGGGTCTGTGAAGATGTATTATATTAATTTATTACTAGCTTAGTGGTCTTAATACTAAGTAATTTATTGTAAACAAATCAATCAATAAAATCTGAAATACATCTACAAATACAACGACAACGACTAGGAGCACGACAACAAATGAGGAAAGGCAACATAATGAGCTACTGCGGTGAGTGATTTAGTGAAAAATTCGGTTACTAGGAGTTAGTGAGCATGAACGAACTGTAAGGTTTCCAAAACGTCAGGCAAAGCATGAGAAAATGTGTTAGTGGGCGGGCAACGGTTACTATCTACATCTCGATAGGAAAATGAGTAGAGGAAAACTCAAAGAAAACTGAGGAGAGAGTTGTTTTATAGAGTTTTTTTACTGAACACACAAACCTTTTTAGGAGAAGATAAGTGTAGTGAAGTTGGCGATGGCATAGAACAATCAGAAGATGCAGAACTGCAGCCGCTGCTGGCGCTGCTGCAGCCCCGAACGCTGGCCAGCGGTAAGTGGTGGGGCATAATCGGCAGTGGTTCTGGCCCCAGGAGCGAGGATATGGTACCACCACCCACTGCAGCGCCAACATTACCGCCGACGGCGCTCAGGACTGCATCCGCCGCTGCCTGCGGCTGCTTAGTAGTAGTGGTAGTAGTTCTAGATACGGCTGATAGATTAACTGTATTATTTACATTGTTGGTCGGAGTGGTGGCCGCCGAAGTGGGCGTGGCCGCGGTAGCGAACATGGCCGACGACGCCACCGCCGCCGCCGGAATGATGGTCAATGGAGTGCTCGGCGCCGTGAAGAACTGTGTCGGCACAGATACAGGAACCGGACCCGCAATCGGTCCGGAGATCGCGCCCGGAATCTGGGCGGCTACCGGTTTGGTAGGCGTGGCGGGGGCGGGGGCGGTGGTCACGCCTACAGCACTGTTCACCTGAAGCTGCATATACGTCTGCAGCATGGCCTGCGCCTGAGCTTGAGCTTGAGCCTGGGCTTGGTAGTGGAACTGCTGCTGCAGTTGCTGCTGATGCTGCACTTGCGCCTGCTGTTGCTGTTGCTGCTGGGCGGCAATGGCTGCAACCTGGTGGTGAAAGACGGCCGCCTGCTGCTGCTGTTGCTGCTGTTGGTGTTGCTGCTGGTGCACCTGCATGGCCTGATAGGCGGCGGCTGAGGCTGCCGAATGCTGCGGATGCTGATGCGGATGTGGATGCGGATGCGTGGACGGCGGTGCGTGCAACAATTGCATTTGCTGTGCGTGGTGGGTTTAGATTATTTGTTGTATTTGGTTTTGGCGAGGGTTTTGTTTTGTTTTGGTTTCAGTTTGGTTTTTGAATTGGATCTTCTGTATCCCCGCAAATAAAAAACAAAACAAATCGGAACCAAATAAAGTGTGTTTGTTATGTTCTGAACTGTTTCGATATTATCCGTCTAAAATAAAAACCGTGTTTCATGGGCTGGAGAAAAAGTGAGCTAAAGAGAGTGATTCGAGAGCTGAGGCTTAGATAAAGAAATCAGGTGAGAGAGATAGCAGTGATAGTTTTCAGCGAGCGCTACCAGTGGATAGTGGATAGGTAAAACTACAATTAGAACCATAGGCAGAGAAAGACCGATACAGAGACAGTAACAGAGACAGAGACAGAAGCAGTAGCAGTAGCACAAAGATTTGGCCAATTTGTAAAAGATCTAGGTCCGCTCACAACGTGGTCACTTGAAAGAACAGCTTAAGCAAAGAAGTTGTGAAAGTTTTTGTGACCAAATCATGAGGTGAGCTTCAGCTTCGTTTAATTAGATTTTAATGTCAATGGTTAAGTAGGCAACGCAATCTAAAAATAAACTATATACACGATCACAGAGGAAGGCGTAAAATGAGCATTAGAAGTAAAACTAGTTCCCCAGATAAAATAAATGAATTAACTTAAGTACAACTTAAAATTAAAGGTTAACTGTATCTCCCCCATTGACATTAAAAACTTCTGAAATTTTTCGAAATATATTAGGTAGGCTAGCAATATAGATTAATTATGGCAGAGAAAGTTAAACAAAATAAAATTTAGGCATATAATTGTTTTTTTTTTTTTTTTTGCATAGTAAACTGTACAAGTTTGATATATATTTTTAGTTAGTAGAACTCTTGCCACTTTTTTCGATCAAGATTATTCTGATCAAGATTATTCTGACTCATTTTGGTTTGACTGTTAGTTTAGCGGTTCTAATTTTTCGATTCGATTTTTGGATGATCGAGTGAAGATTCGGTAGTTGGATTTTGGCGGCGCTTACCATTATTAAATCTTGTATAGGGGAGGATTCGGCCGAATCAGATGCAACGATCTCGTTCTTTACCGTAGCTGCTGCTGCTCCTGCCACGGACGAAGCGGGCGGCGGTGTGGGCGTGGCGGGGGCGTTGACGGCAAGCGACGCTTGAGAGCTGCTGCTGATACTGAGCGCTGCAATCGCTGCTGACGCCGTGTTTTCTGTTAACGCAGCAATGATGACAGTTTTATTGGCAACAAATGTTGATTAAATTTCTCCGCTTCTAGTTTTAGCACTTGGTTGTTACTCGTGAGCTTTTTTCTTTTTGGCGCGTTTGAAGTATCGGATTTTTGTGTTTCTTTATTTTTGGTATTTTCTTGACAGGTTTTGATTTTAAGGAAATTGCACAGGGTTTGTTGGTTTTCGTGTTTTGGTGAATATATGAACTCTGCTTATAATTACTATATAATGCCAATTGAATTAGTTTTCGATGTTTTTATACCAATATTGTGACGTAAAGCTTTACGCAAATTGTTGCTGCGCTAAGTCGATAAACAAAACAATCAGCTAACAGGATTTTATTTATCCCTTTTCTTATTTTGATTTTGAGCGTATTTTAAAGTGTTATTAAAAATGTTAATATGCTAAATATCACTACTGCGGTTGAATAATATTTTAGACGTTCATAAATATGTATTTAGAGATATGAAAACCGTTCAAAGATTGTTTGAAGTTCCGATTGATTGTAAGATGATTGTAGATTGTAAAGACCGCTTTAATTAATTTTAAGCCTTAGAGTTTTCTGGAGTAGAGTGGTTGTCTTAGAGATTGTCATAGAACAGAGGTTCGATTTAGGATCTGTAAAGTGCCTAGGCTAGAAAAACTTTTGTTTTTATAAATATATGATGTAGAGAAGAATGTATATAAATCCTATATTACGCGCGTAGGCGCTATATCTGATGTGTATATGAAATACGCTAATTTCGTGTGATTGTCAAAACGCGATTTCTTGTCGATCGAGGCATTGATTAGACCCGGCGATCCCACTTTAAACCTATTCCCTTAAAATCGTTAACCCCTTACTGTATAATAGAGCAGTCGAAGCAAGGAAAGTCGGTCAGTGGTTATTTTTAAAGTCGATTGAAAGTGATTGAGATAGTCTCTGATTGACACTGCTTGCTTACAAATTACAAATTGACTTTTCTATGCCTTCATACAACCGTTGTCAGTCGGCAAATACAGGATTTAACTATTTAAAATTTGCTATTTTAACTCTGCTTTACTTTGGAGTTAATTTGGGGGCTGGTTTGATTGTTAAGTAGCATTAATATTTAGATAACTACTCCTTCTATTTCTGTTTGATTTCTCCCTTTTCTTTGAAAATTCTTTCAAATGCTTTTTAATTGTTTGTTTGCCGTCCTTTGATGCTGATATGTAGCTATTAAACGGATTTTTTATGCTCCTTGTAAATATTTATACTTAATTTTCAATTTAACAACCTTTCATTCTTTCACTTTTCTATCGTCGTTTCCTTCGACTTATTTGCCTATCACCTTTTCCGATTTCTTGTTCGTGCTGATTTTTTCTGTAGTCGGCTTTGTTAATTGATTTCCGGCCACCTTTATATGGAGTTTAAATTCCCTTTTAAATTACGCTCAAAATTAACAGCAGAAAATCCAAATATATATTTTGATTCATAAATTGCTATAAAATTTGCAATTCTATCGTGTATTTCTCAACAGGATCTTTTCTTGTAAATATCTCTTTATTACACTTAGCTCGTATATATCATTTAAAATACTGCTTCGTACCGACTGGAATTTTTTTTTAGCAACAATTCACCACTTTTGCCTGTTTCTTTTTTTGTGCCTTTCTGTGTTGTTTTACTTTGTTATTATTTTGTTTTCTTCAGTTTTAATTTCCTAATGAATTCTATTCGGTAGTGTTGATGGCTGATGGGTTTTTGGGCGGGGCGGGTTTCGGAGAGGGATTGTATTGGGCTAAGAAAAATACCACGGAGTACGTATGGAGTTTGGTTGCCTTTAGCTCTAGATTTATTTCATTTATGCTGGGACTTGTCAGTTTCTGATTGCTGGTCAAGAGATTTGTAAAATTTGTGTAATTATTTTCTTGTGGGGCAAATGGCAGGAAATAAAATCGAATTCATATAAATAAATGGAATTAAATTTGAAATTTTACTTTCGCATATTATCTTGCCAATTCAAAGCCAAACATGAAGGTCCAAAAAATCGAGGAAATAAACCATATGAAGTGACTATCAATGAAAAAACGAAAAATAGCACTGCACAAAATAAGAAACAACCAAACCAAACACAATGGACGTAAGTATTTAATAATAATTTGCTCTTATTACCAATCAAGTGTCGAGTCAGAGTCGTTGAAGTTGGATGAAGTTTTTGGTTTTTTTTTTTTGTGGTGAGCTCTCTTGTTTTTATTTTCAATAAATAGTTTTGTTTGGTTTATTGCTGTCCTTGCGGGTCTTGTAATTATGGCTCTGGAACAAAGGCAAAAAAAAATCATGGAATATTTTGCGATTCTGAATATTTTGTGCTCTATTGTGCGCTTCAAGTGTGTAAATAATTTAACTTTTTTATGAGAAATTCCTTACAACTTTTTGTGAGTTGTGAAGAACACGTTTTCAGGCGGAGAGGCAAGCGGGGCCCCGGTCTCTCTCTTTCGCTAGATTCTGTTTAACACGCACGAAATTTCTTTAGCGTTACCGGTTTGTTGTGCCGCTGTTGCTTTTCTTTTTGCTGTTGAGTCACACGGCCGCCCGCTGCAAAAACAGGTAAGAAGCGTGGAGAGAGTTCAGGCCCGTGAAGCATTGCGTGGGCCGATCGCTGTCTCCCCAGCACTCCGCCAACGTGTAATTACAACAATAAAAATAAACTACGGGAATTATATGAAAGCGTACTTAGTACGCCAACAGCAGCAGCGACAAGTGGCCAAGAGGATGCCGTCTATGCTGACTGCGGCTGATTGTGTGCGGCCTATTGGAACGCGAGCCATAAGGTTTTATGGCCAGAAGTAGACTCGAATCGGAGCTAACAGAGGAATACGTCTGCCTGCTATGAATTTTTGCCTGCTATTTTGTTTTTTGTTTTTTGTTTTTCGTCTTTCTTTTTCGGTCTTCGTTTCGTGTTCTTTCCTTTCCTTTATTTTCGTTTTTATTTTTTTCCCCCGACTCTTTTGTGGGCTTGCAAACACAAAAACGTGTTTCTTTGTGGCGACGCTCTTGGTTTTGCCGGTTCTGAAATTTCTTAGCCTATGTCTGGCTTAAACGTAGAGGACAGAAGCGAGAGACGCAAAGACTGATGATGGCTCAGAACTTGTTGTTGCCAAGGCCTATAGGAAATATCAGCGGTCCAAGAATTGGAGAGCGGCTCTCGAGCAACGAACTTTTGCCAGCAGTTTTATGTTCGCTTTGCTCGTTCTTCGCTTATTGTTAAATTATTACGTTTGTGAGCACAAAATATTCTTTATTTTGTTATGTTCTTGCTGTTTATTTATTATTTTCTCTTACATTTCAGAAAGCGCAAGGTGCGATAAAGACACTGGGAAACGAAAATTAATGTATAGTTTTATATGTGAAGATTTTTATTTGATTGACACGCGCGAAAAGTGAAAACACCACGGAGCCGGAAGTCGAGTCGAGTTGAGTCGAGTCGATTTTACTTTTCAATTAGTGAATTTTTGAAGCTTCGATTAAAATATTCTCGGGGACTGGGATCTGGACTGATGTGATCTGTTCGAGTCGGGCACTGGATGCGAACTGCGCGTGTTATTTTCTTTTTATCATTATCCGCGTGCTGTTTGCGAGGCGTTGTTGCTGCTGTTGCGGCTGTTTTCGATTTGAACCCGACTTTGATTTGGATATTGAAATTCGTCAGTGAGTGGAGAGTGTGTGAGAGTGTTCTGGTGCTGGCTGTTGCTGCTGCTGCTGCTGCTGCTGCTGCTGCTACTGCTGCTGATGGTGCTACCAGCGGTGGTAGAGAGGATGTCGCTGGCGCTGGCGGAGGCGTGTGGCGGTGGCGGTGGCGGTGGTTGGTTTGGACGTAGGCAGCGACGGCAACTGCGACTGCGACGCCAACTTTCAATGGTGGCTGAACGGAACGAAACCGGGGAACAACGTGGGCTACCGACCTGATGCTACTGCTGCTGTTATACTAGGTGATTCGATTTGATTCCTATAGAGAGCCAACGAGCTGAGCGGCGGACAGAGTTGGAACGGGTTAAAGCAAAGACTGTACGAAGACTGAAGTAAGAACGAATGGCATTCTAAGGTAATATACCTTTTTGTTTCGGAGTCGGACGCCGATTCCTCTGCCGCAGTTGCAGTCGCTGTCGGGATTGAATCTGTTGCTGCTGCGTCGGCAGCGGCAGCGACAGCGACAGCGGCAGAACGGCGACGCGTGCTAACCAAAATAAAGCAACAGTGGGCCCATGAACCGGACTCGGGCTTAAAGAACGAACGCGGCCGATACGAGTGGCCACGAAACGCTGCCGGAATCGACCGTCGTGAGCAGCATTTCTCCTCTTGGCAGCGAAGACTCCGAAAAAAGGCGGTATAAAAACGAGTCATCAGTAGCACACCTTTTTGGCCTTCCCTTCTCCTGCTCAGCGACTCGCTCTCACTCTCTCAGCCGTTGGTCTGCTACCTGATGGGTATAGTTCGTCGTCTCGGTGAATTTTTCAGGTGCGCAATTAACAAGTAATTATTTTCAGCGGGTCACAACGCGCACTTATACGCAGTGTTATACATTATATATTTTGAGCCTGTTCGTATAAGTCTTTTGAGGATCGCAAGTGGAGGTGGCAATGGGGAGAAACTACCCGAAGTTTGTCTCCCTCCTAGGCACCCCCTATTTTTAGTTTTTGTTCTTGTAACAGCAATTGTTGCAGTAACATTACTGGCACACACACACACAAAGGCAGGACTCACGCACACGAGCACTTCTACGTGAGACAGCAAATGCATGCGCCATGCGTGTGCGCCACCCAAACGCCAAAGGTGCAAGCGAAAGGGCCAAAATGTTTGAGCGAGAGGCAGACAGCTACGAGAGTACCAAAAAAAAGGCCAAAACGACGTCGGCAGCGAAATCAACGAGAAAATAATAATTGTTACACCTGCTTCGGAAATGTGGCAAAAGGGGGTGGCTCAAAAACACCCCCACAAAACCGAAGCTCGCTCGGCATTCAGGTGAGCATTTGCCACCCCGCAAAACGTAGCGGGAAACACCGAAGTTCGGAAAAGCGAAAAGCTCGGCCAAGGCTGACGAAGCGAAGCGAAAGCGAACCGGAAAAGCCGAAAAAATCTTTCCCGACGCACACCAGCCGACGCGACTCCGAACGTCGGCAGAGCGCATGACGCCAAGGTGAAAATTATGCGTAGGTATGCGGGGTTGTAAGTGTGCTTTCGGCAGTTTGATGGAGGGTGGCAAACCCCCAATGAGGGGAAATCGCCGAATGGATTTGTTGTAAGGGGTAGTGTCATTCAACAGTAAGCTGCGGGGTTGCCATCGACTGTTAGGTAAAAGCCCTTCTAGAGCTTTCTGCTGAGACAGAAAGCAGATAACATTATTCTCCGCTGGTATTTCATCGCAAATCGCTTTGGAAAAAGGATTAGGCTGTTAAACGAAACAATTAAAGATCGCGATAAAATACCTTGCCGTGGCGTTGCAAAATAATTGTTCAAGCTCTCAAGCAATTGTCCGAAAAACAATTATAATTGTACATTTATTTATATTCTTCCACGAATACTTGGGCAATTATTTCGTCGTACCGGAACAGACGATACAACTTTATGCTCGAAAGCGATTTCTTCAACGTCTTACGTTCCCAATCATTCTGCGAAAAACGGAAACGGATCCAGAGAGCTCCTCGCTGGCTTTTGAATAAAATTGAAGGGTCGTGTGGAAAAAATCGAATGCCCTTACGAATCTTCACAACAACTTTGATTTTGCTCTACGGGTGAACCAATGAGATAATAATTCAAAAAGCAATAACAAAATAATAGTCCTCAAACCCTAAAATGTTAGGATCTCAAGCAACTAGCAACCTCTAAGGATGTACAAAATATAATCAAACACACAGGCTACATCATTGATGCATTTTAACTTTCGGCAGTATGGGAATAGGTCGATTGATTTGGAGGGGGAATACAACAAGATCTCATTTCTGTGTTTTAACTAATAAATGTATATTTTATTTACAGTACTTGCTGCATTTTTATAGGGACTTTTAAGCGTAAAGCAAATCGAGGGATTTAGCTTCGTCAGCTGGTTGATTCGGCGTATCATCAGCCCCTCCGATAGAAATAACGTTTTAGAGGAGCGTTAAAACCGACGACGGAACAATGGCTGTGTGCATAAAAATCGTTTGGTTATTGTTGCAGGCGGCAGTTGTGGCTATATCAACGACAGGGCTCACAGCAACAGCATTGGCTTCAGCATCGTCATCGATGACGGCGATGAGAGCTGTTGTAGTTGTAAACGGTTTATGGGATTTACGCGCAATTTACTGGCAACTTTCATTGCTCTGCACTGGGCAAGATGTTTTAGGTTTATTTTTAAACATACGACGAACCTAGATTAATTTTGTATGAAAGGACGATATATTGTCCTTTTGTTCTATATTATTTTCAAGACCCATTATGCAAAGAATTAATTCTATTTCAGTTTGATTAAAAATGGTGAACCTCAGCTCCATTTCTGCCGGTGTACTTTTTGTGCGAAAAAGGATCGCGGGGACACATATAAAACAATATGCGCTCCAATCTAAGCTGGGCCCGTTAAATGATTTGCGTTTGTGCTTACCCCTTATCCCTGGACCAGCCCTTCAGTATAAACCCGTATTAGCCCCGATTACGTTATTTTTTTGTTTTTTTGTTGAAATTACTATGGGCAGTAGAAAAATAAGAACATTAAGGATTTGTAGAGCGCAGCTTACCTGCAGAAAGAATAAAATCACAAGGCGCGGCAACAAAAATACAAATTTCAAGCAGACTTTTGATTAAGCCATAAAAATTGTTTACCGAAAATGGTACGACCACGCTGTTAATAAAACTTTGCTCAATTGGATGAACAATCTGTCTACACCGTTGACGTGATTTCCTTACCTACTGCTAGCAACATTGTTGCAGCAACAAGTAGTCGAAGTACAGCCAAGCAAAGCTGACTATGTGCACTTTGCAGCAGCAACATCCCACACCAGACCCAGACTCAAGGAAAATGCATAAGTTCGTATGGCTCAAAGCATGTGCCTGTACCCGCTTATTTATGTGTGTTTTTCCGCTGCAGCCGCATAATTCTGATAGCCAAGTCGCCTTGCTGTTGGCCAGAGGAGTGGGCAGGGGAAGAAGTAGCAGTTAGTCGAATGGCTCAGGCATGCAACAGGCCATGAATCTCAATCTCGGAAGCGCTACGCTGAGCCGCGAGTAGTTGATAGAGCCCAGCTACGAATGGCCAACAACCAACCTGCGGGAGAAGCAGTCAGGAAAGCCAGCAGCTCCCTGTGAAGTTGACTTGGCAATTCAAGTGCGCCGAGGTAGCGGACGAGTATCGTGGTGGAATCACATTGGAGCATTGGTTCGGTATTGGTCGCAGTCTTAAATACCCTTAAAGAACATGGAATTGTGTCCTAAAACACAAAAAAAGAGGAAGAATCCAAGGTGCTTGCATTTAAACAGTTCAACTTTCTGCATGACCTGCTTGAGTTACCTAAACAGTTATGTTATAACTTACATGTTGCAAATTAAAAATTAAGTACTCTGTTTTTTCATTTTAAATTCGCCTTTAAATTTAAGTCGTGCAACACGCCAACTGCAACCCCTTGTTTCCAAGGTATAAGCCGAAACAACCAAGAGCTCTTGGGACCGCAGACGACATTCAGGTGCAAGTCGAATGTTTTTGGAGAGAAATATGCGGTTACAGCATTTACTAGCCCCAGTCCCACCCCAAGACCAACTTTAAGTTGCACCTTCGGTCCGCAAAGGAAGCCAAGCGAATCTGGCGACTCACCAGCAGAATAGAAGAATAAAAGACCGAAGCCGAGGTAAGGAAGGAACGAGGTAAGATGGAGTCAGCCAACGAACCAGCAACTAAATGCACGAAACAGTCAACTTGCCACATTTTAATTCACTCGAATATTTCTTCTGCACCAAGTATTATCTTGGCCGGTCGCTTGCTTGTTCTTGCGCACTGAAAATTTTCGAAGAAAAATGTACTTAAATATTTATCGAAAACGCGAATAAGACTTAAACTTTCGGCTTGGTTCGGTATCTATCATTTACTCGTATTTTATCACGGGGGATGTTCGATACAACACTTATAATTACAGATTAATTGAATAAGTTATATAACGTTTTTCCTGAGTGCAATTAATGGGAGAAACGGCAGAACTGCATGACGCTCAAACCAGACAGAGAAGATGATATAGCTGTAGACAGAGCCACATGCAAGTTGCAAGAGATGCTCCGCTTTGGCTTCTACTTCTCTTGGCTTCCTTTTGAGCTTAACTTGGCTCACGGCATTCTTTCCACAGTGGCTCTTGGCCATAATTCGCCGCTGGTATGTGTCGCCTCTATGGTGGCCCGCCCCAGTTCGCATCAAGCTATAGCTCCTTCCAACCACATGGCAATAGAATTATAGTCAGCCGGGGCTGTCACTTGGTTTATTTTAACTCAAATTCATGTTGCCGAAAGCTAGCAGCTGGAATATGCAACTTGAGTGGTGGAATTCCCTGGGAAGCATAATTTATTCAGCGATCTCTTTCACTCGTCTGTTCTTATAATTATTATTTCTTCCGCATTTTCCAGCTCCGATTTGATCTCGTCATGATATCAACAAGATAATTGATTCTCAAGTGCTGGTCCCCCAAAATGTTATTCCTTTCTCTAGTTCAGTGGAGCACGGAACATTAAGTTTTGAAGAGGGAATAGTGAGTTGCATGTTGCTGAGTGCTGAGTGCTGTTGACCATGAACTTTGTCGTCCAAGCCACACATTTTTCTCGAATATTATTTACAACGGAATTTCCAAAATCATGTTCCATTTTTATGGATTCAACAATAATAAGTAAACAGTTTACTTGGAGTAACCTCATTTCACTCCTTGACCCAACGCAAATGCTTGTACTGTTTCGATTTCCACACCAAGCCCAGACTTAAGCCAAAACCAATGAAATCTCCCATGAACGCCTTTTATCAGGGAAACAGTGAAACATTCTCAATAACGAAATTCCAGCTAAAAAAGGGCTTAAATACAGCATCAGCCAAAGGAGAAACCTGATATAAACAGTGATGGAGCAAGGAAGGTGCACAGAGAACAAAAAGCGACACCTTTACAAATTCGCATTACTAAACTGCAATGGTGTATCGTTGCTTACATGAAATGAAGAAGAAGCAAAAACATATTGATTATAATATAAAAATTACAGCAACATTTTGTCCTCAGTGCAGATAAAGCGCATGAAGTTTCGACGCAGCCGCAATTATATTTGGACCGCAAATGAAACAAGTTTGGCAACTTTGGCAACAGGCATTTTGCAGCGCTGTGGCGAAGAATCGGAGGAATCACGAGGCGAAATCAGAGAGAGCCGCATAAAAGGGGACGGGAGTTACCATTGCATCAGCCACCACAACAGCTACATCATCATCATGACCGTGAACAGCAGAGTCTGAGGATTTAAGCAGACTGCATATCTGAGATTCCAGTACCTGTATGTGAGCGTGGCGAAAAGTCTGGAAAACATTTTGCAATTGCATCAATTGGAGCAGGGCAGCCACGTCGTCCATTAGTCCAAGTGCTTTGGCTATTATCGCCAGCCAGAGTGACGCTAATGGCGCGCAGAGAGCTCGTTATGATTTGCGAACGAGTCCCAGAGCAGGAGGCAAGGCAAAAAGTCCTGGCCCGGCCGCTTAATGAAGCATAATCTCATTGTAACCACTTACAACCAATAAGGACAACAACAAGCCAAGTTCGCTAAGCGGATTGGGTCGAGAATCAACCCGCCGAGCTCAAGGAGGCCAAAAGGAATCCAGGCGTGGGCGACAACTACTTGGCATATCCTGGCACACTGACTGACTGA